CCTGATTAGGCAAGCTTTCCAGGGATCTGGCTGTCCTCAGCTGCACCCCGGCACTGCTGGCTCCTGGAGCAGGGAGCGCAGGTGTCCTTCCTGCAGGGAGAGGCAGGGCTCCAGCAGCCCCCTGACCTGGGGGAACGGGGCAGGGAGTGTGCTCTGAACGTGCACCCTGTGCAGTGCTTGCTCCTGGTTGCATTTACATTTTTCTGTGTAATAGCATTAAAAAAAAAAAAAAAAAAAAGAAAGAAAATGGTAGTCAGGATAAGGCCATTTCAGCCACAGAGCTGCCATTCCCTGCCAGCCTAAACTGCTTGTGAAAGCAGGACAAAGGCTCACAGCCCCTCATGAGGCAGCAAAGCCTGCAATGCACCCAGCACAAACAGTAATTTAAGTCACAGCATGGCCAGACACAAAGTTTGAGCTGCCCATGTGCTGAAATAGTTGGTGGGAATATTAAAACCAATAAAAATCAGCTTGTGTCTTCTTCCCAGCCTCGTGCTGCCAAGGACTGTGACTCCCTGGCACAACCATTGCAGGCAGCCCATCCTGCTTTTGTGAGGGAAACCAGTGTGTTTGCAGCTCTGTCATCACTCACAGGGGTGGAAACCACAGGAGATTGCATCCTCCTTCATGAGCACCTCTGCTACAAGGGAAGAGCTTGCAGGAGCTGCCCTGGAGGAAGGGTGTGGACGAGGGCAGCTGTGAGTGCCAGCCTGCATGCACAGACCTGTCACGCTGCATGGACTGTGTGAGCACGGTGGTTGCACAAGCAGGGATGCCTCACTACAGCAAAGAACAGCAATCCAGTGGATTCCTTACAGTAGCTTGCTGTGAGATAATTGAGGGAGGTTAATCCCAGATTTTTAAGGAATTTCGTCAAGAAGCCCCGGTGCTTTGTGCAGTGAAAATCAAATATCCACCCACACAGTAATCGGGTCAAAGTTAAACTTGTCAAACAATGTTGGTGCATTTTGCATTTGCATTGCTGGGATTAATTTCCCACATTTCCCCCCTCTCTGAATTTCTGAGTTCAGAAGATTTTTTAAACTTTATTGGTCACTTCTGATGTACCATGGCACACCAGCCATGCTATGTGAGCTTTCAAATGTACCATGGCACCAAAGCACACTATCTGTTTTCCTTTCCTTTTCCTTTCCTTTTCTTTTCCTTTTCCCTTCCCTTCCCTTCCCTTCCCTTCCCTTCCCTTCCCTTCCCTTCCCTTCCCTTCTTTCCTCTCTCCCCCCCGCTTCCTTTTTTTTTCAATCTGTAAACACAATGATGCTTGTGCTCCAATCTGTGCCAAGATGAATACTTTACTTCTTCAAATCTTGCCAGTTTTAGAGTCTGAAGGTTGGGGACAGCTAGAGGGAAAACAAGAACAAGAAGTCTCTGAAGCTGTAGGAATTTTGTTATTGTTATTTTCCTTTGTAAAATGAAAGGGATTTTCTGTAACCTGAAACATTCAGGTTGGATTTTCTTCTTACTTCACAAAGTTATTTTATTTTGTTATTGATATTGCATAGGAGACCATCAGTTTTTGTGTGAAAGGCCTAACTTCTCAGGATGCTGGGACCACTTTGGTAAGGCTGCTTTCTGCCCTTCTCTTACAGGAAAAGAAAAAAAAGTCATATAATTCCACTGGGAAACAGATGAGTATTACCAGCTGAATTCAGTTCATTCTCCACATACCCTGTATTCCATGTGCTGGTATGGGAACCATCAAATGCTGACAGGATAAGAGGAAATGGCTTCAAGTGGTGCCAAGGGAGGTTTAGATTCAATATCAGATAAAAAACAACTTCACCAAAAGTGTTTTCCAGCCCTGGAAGAGGCTGCTCAGGGTGTGAGTTTCCATCCCTGGAGGTATTTAAAAGACATGTAGACATGGTTTAGTGGTGGACTAAAGCAAGCAGTGCTGGGTTAACAGTTGGGCTAATTGATCTTAAAGGTCTTTTCCAAGCTAGTTCTATGATTTTATGAAAAAAAAATCCTTGAAAATGTTGTTCTGCTTTGCAATGGAATAATTTCTCTGACAAAGATGTTTTAGGGCATTTGCACAACCATATTTTGATGATGTACATCTCTGGAAATATATCTTGGGTACTTCCCATTCAACCTGGACATTCTGGTATTAAAGGCATGCAGATGTGCTTTTAGTTCAGATTAACACAGGTTGGAATGGCTGTTCACCATGAAAACAGTGAAAGGTACCCCAGTCGTGTAGGAAGGAATGTGGTTATGAATCCTCATAAGTAGGAGAGTAGGTGCTGTGTTTTCGTTTGGTGTTTACACAGTTCTGACCTTTCTGAGAGTTCTGTGAGTTGTCAGTTGAGAAAGAGAGGGAGGTTGGGGTTTTTTGTATGTTCTTGACAACCAATAAATGTTCAAAGTAATGATGTTCGACTGCACTGGAAGTGCATTTCTGCAGAGGTGGAAAAAGTTGGTGATGTCAGTGGGTCTACAGGAGAATGCTAGCAATATATTTGAAAATACTTCCCTTTGAGTGCAAAGGATTTCTACCACAAGTGCTGATTACTGAAATTAATTTCCCCTACACAGCACATATGCTGCAAAAATTTCACATGTCTTTTCTGCTTTATCCCTAATGGTTTTCTGTGAAAGCAATGGAACAATGTAGTTGTGTGATGCTTTCACATCTTCCTCTTTTCTGCAGTAAATGTTTTTAGTAGAATTTAGCCATCCTTTCTTATTAAATCTTAGCTTCTCTTCTGCAATACTTCTACCTATTTAAAGCTGTTTCTGGAGCACATAGAAGTGAAATGCTGAAGGCCTCATCAGGTGCACAAGAAACCTTATTTCTATGGGGATTTTGCTGTGAATTGGTGGGCTTATATTATTCTCTGCAGTGCTCAAAAAAGCACTGTCTTCTCTACTGTGACTTCAGTATGTATGATTCCTTCAACTTTGTTAACATCCTAAAGATGCATAACACCTCTTCCCTTGAACTGATGGATTTCATGAATCAAGGATATGATATGTGCTCAGGGAAGCTTTAAGTGATGGGAAAATTACAACTTCTGCCTCTGATCAAAGCAGAGCAAAGCATTGGCTGCTCCTCTCTCTCTGTTACTTCAGTCTCTTTGCAATCAGCGAGATCTCCAGAGGAGAAGGTACCACGAATTGTAATACCTAGGAAAAGAGAAGGAGCCCTGAGTGAGAATAATATCATTGAGTTCAGCTTATCTAAAAATTAGGCAGCCTTAGCTGGTCCAGTTTCTTCTGTGTGTAATAAGGGGTTGTGGTACTTCCCTACTACAGTCTGGCAGCTGGTGAGCTCAGTTACTTTCCCTGGGACTGCTCATCCAAAAGCAGGGTTAAGTCCCGAGGAAGAAATGCAGATGCAAATGTAACAGGCTGGAGTTTCCTTCTAGTTGTAATATGCTAATGGCTGAAATCTGTATTTTAAAAAAGGCTTGAATTTAAAAGGAAAGTGAGGTGATGAACTGTAGAGCTGAAGCAGGGTTGCCAGTAACTCTGTAATGATAAGGATTCATGGTTAGACTAGCAGGAGAAAGTTTATTCCATCTGACTCACAGAGAGGCAGTCCCTGGGAGCTGGAGCTGTGACCTGGGGAAGCTGTGTATGGCTGGCTCTAGCAATGACACTTTCTCCTTCTCTGAGCACCATGGAAACACTTCTGCGTAAACACATGGTGCTACTGCCGTCTGCATTTGTAAACCATGCTGGTGGAAAATGCATGGATGGAGTACAAATGTACAGGAATTAGATCACAGCCCAAAACACAGGCACTCAAAACCCTGCAATGGAGAAAGTGCCAGTCTGACTCAATAACAGACTCCTCTCAGCCATTTCATAGACAACGATTTTCTCTCTACAGAAACGTTGTAACCTGTATTTGATTTCTCTACAGAGTACCATCGTTTTAATTATGTCAAAAGAAAAGTCTGATTTGTAATCCAACCCAGTCCATCTAATCTATCTAATTCAAGGAACCTGTACTGAAGAAAAACTGGAGCAATGTAGCAGCCGATCGTTTCTGATAAAAAGGATGCATTTCATTTAAATCAAAATAATTCAAACCAGCAAACCAGAAGTCTGCATTTAAATAAATTATTTTACTCTTGATTTGTATTTGCACTTTATTTTTCTCCTTGAAGAATACCCGGTTTTCATTGGTGTGCAACCCTCTTGCTGTGATTTTTACAGCTAAATAAGACCCCTTACACTGTAACTGCTTACACTATACCAGGGCTTATTTATTTTGCAGGAGGGTGTGCAGTATCTGTACAAATCTACATCACTTAGCATTCATTTAGTCCCTCAGGCTCTTATTTAATATGTGGTTTGTTTTTCTGCCCAGGATCTGCTCTGGACTGGCCTGGGTTGGTGATGGCTCTGCTCTTCCAGGCTTTAAAGCAAGGATTGTCTACAGGGATTGTCCATGCCTCTCCCCCTGGGGCCTTGGGTGAGCAGTGGGTGCCTTCTGGAGAAGGCAGGACACAATGCTGGGGAGGCAAGTGCTCCCTCCCCTTCCACAGGGCTGGTGATTCTCTCTGGCTGGTGATTCTCTCTGGTGATTCTCTCTGGTGACACCACGACCATCCACATTTGGCCCTGCTGTCACATCCCTCTCCCCGTCCAGGTGCTCGGCCATGACATCCATCATGTGCAGCCTAAGCAATCCTTGTTAAATTTTCTTTGGAAAAATCCATTTCTTGATGGATTACATCCTGCTGGGCCCAAAACGGTGGTGCAGGCATTGTGTTTAATTTCAAACATAATTGTATACAACTATTCCCAAAGCAGCACCAGGGTTTCACTTAGCTGCATTTTAACCTCCAAGCCCCCAGCACTGCCTGACACTTACATTCACAGGTGGGCTCCTTCTGCCTGAGCCCCTCCTGGCTGGAGGAGCGCCCAGAGCATCCCCAGGGATGAAGGCAGCCCCGTGCCCGTGGGTGGCTGGCGCCGCATCCTGGCACACGCCCCGCGAGGAAGCCGTGGGCGGTGTGAGGTGACTTATGAAGCCGAGCAGCCTCCCAGCGCCACAACTTCCCCCTGCACCCTGTCAGGGAGCGTTTCAGCGGCCTGTGACAGCAGCCGGGCCCCCATGGCCGGGCACTGAGCCCTCTGCATCCTCCCTGCCTCAGGGCTGGCCTCGGCGCCGCTCTACCAGGGAAACGCCAGGTACCAGGGGAGGCAAGCGGGGCAGGCTGGGCTTGTGTCGGGGTTTTTGGTGGTGGCAGCGGGCAGGAAGGAGAGAGACACGGTGGAGCATGCTGTGACTCCTCAGGCTCCGTTCCCCTAACCTTATTCCCCTCTCCTCCCAGCCCAGGAGCTGCAGGAAGATGACGGGCCTGCCTGCCTCCCCAGCGGCACTGAGGACGTGGCTGGGGCTCGGGCTCTTCGTGCTGCTCTGCCTTGGGATAGGTAAGCAGGAGCCGGGATGGGAGTGTGGGAAGGGGCTGGGAGCCAGCAGCAGCACCCATGTGATGGTCAACAGGGGATGGTGGCCCTCAGGACACTCCTGGTGCCTTCTGCCAGGGCTGAGCCCAGGGTTTGGGGCAGCTGGCACTTCACTGAGGAGCCCTCGGCTCTCAGCTTCCCGGGCCCGTTGCACCAGGCTGCTGGCTCCAGACAGGCATGGTGGTCTCCCTTCCCAGCCAGGGTGAGAGAAATGAGGGTGATTTTGGTCAGCTGATGTCTGTGGGGAGCACATGGCACAGCCCCTCGGGCTTCGGTTTCAGTGGCGGCGTGGTTTCCGCAGCTTTTTGGGTGGTTCAAAGCGGGTGCATGGTGGAAAAGATAGGGAAAGGTGGCAGCCTGGAGTTTTATGCACCTCCTGGGCAGCTCAGCCAGCTCAGCACAGAGCAGAGTGAGTTCTTTCTCCAACAACGCAATTGAAGTCCTGCCTGGACTCTCCCCTGTCCTTTTCTGAGCGCTTGCCATAAAGCTCACACAGATCGCTCCTTGCCTCAAAAGGCTTGGAATGAATCTTCTCAGAGGTGTGCAATGTTAACCTGGAAACCACACAAAATTCACTTCTGAGCTGGAGTTCATTGTGGATGCAAAATAAGTTGTGCTTATTGGCATTTTAGTGCTTCATCCCAGCTAAGGATACTCTAGAGCAAACCTGGGCTGAACTGGAGCTTTCATTAAAAATCAAGCGATGCAAAATTAGGAGCTTTTCATGCTCCTATTGTGAAACTGGGAGATATTTGATGCCAGGCTTCATTTTGAGTTTCAATCTCAGAATTTTTAAGATAAAACTTGGAGAATTTAGCAGGGAGTGAACTGCAGAGCTCACTGGTAAAGAAAGCAATGACCTCAAATGTCTCTCTGGGATCTCTGCACTTCTGTCTTCCCCTCACTCCTTCCCCTGCCTCTGTGCTTGCAAAGCATCTGTCAAGCACAAATATATTTTGCTTGTATTTGCATCAGGCAGACAATCTACCATGAGCAGAACTGTTTCTGTCTCAGTACTTTAAGAGCTTGTGGTGTGTTAATAATGTAATTACGATAATATGGTAATTTGCCAGTCATGTAATTTCTCTGAAAACAATTCTGGTTCCTTGACTAAAGGATGTATAGTTGGATGTATATTCTGATGCATGCTAATATCCACTACTAGAAATAGGAGTTTGATAAGAAAACTAAGTGTTCCTCTAGCTGTACTTTTGGGGCACAATTTTTAGATGCTTCTCAAGCAACAAGTCAGTGGAAGTGCTGGTGCCTCAGGAGCAGGTGTTTGGCAGACTGATAACAGCAGGACAGCTGATGCACTTATTTTCCTCTCTGGATGCCCTCACACACACTCTGAACCCTTTCTCTCCGAAGATCAGCATTCCTACATCAGTGCTCCTGGAAAATACATGGTGCAGTACCCACTAAGGACTGGGTTTTTAAAGCTTTGCTGGTGCTTGTGGGTGATGCCTTCTCAAGGTTGCCTACAGGGACCACAAGGACAGAGTTCTGGCCTTGTTGTGGCAAAATAGTGGAGCCCTGGGTGTCTGCCATCAGCCTGGCAGTGACTTTCCACACAATACTGAGAGAGCCACCACATTTACAGCACATTTTATGGGACATTACACATTTTACAGGACTGACCCCACATGGGACTGCTCATGAGCACATCAAGGCACAGTCAGGGCTGGCTCCCAGAGCCTGTGTCCTTGGTTTGGCCCAGGTGTCCTGATGCTGGCACACCTCCCTGATGTAGCACTGCAAAAGGTCAGGTAGCATCCTGGGATGGAAACAGGTGCCCTCTGTAAAGCCTGTGTGAGTGAAATAGTAACAGAGGGGATGCCAGGCTGAATTTTCACATGGCAGCAGTGGAAGGCATTAATGGGGGGTTTAATTAAAAGGGATTTGAAGGTGGAAGGTTGATTTGAAGTTGTCTTTCATAGGAATGTCATGTATGTTCAAGCTATGTAGATCCATTTCTTTTCCTTTGAATTGAGTTTTGCTACTCTGACGTTCACCTGAGGTGCCCCACTGAAATGCCAGTGTAATTTAGAGCTGCTTGTGGGATGTCATCTGCTGCTGGAGACACTGATGTCCATGAAAAACCCCCCTTGTCTCAGCACAAAGTGGCAGAACAGCTTTGGTTAACAGCACAAACTTTTTTATTTATGATCTGAATGCACTGCTGGTATCCCCACGGGCTTGGTTTTGTCCTGCCATTGCACCTTCACACCTACCTACAAATTGTAGGATGTTCTCAGTCCCAGTTTGTTATCCTGGAAAAATATAGCTTGAAGTCCCTCAGTATGACCTTTCCCTGCCCTGTGTGCAAACAAAGCACAGGCACTGACTTCAGGGACCCAGCGAGACCAACTTTATGTCCATGGAATATTTTTAAACTTCCCTGGAGTCTTTTCTTCCAGCTGGGGACCACTTAGCTCTTGGTTTCTTCCCAGGGGTGAAATTTTTTGAGAAGTTTTGAAGAAAATTCCCTACAGCTTTTCTAAGTTACTGGAGAGTTGGGAAGGGAGGGGGAATATCCACTTCAGTCAGCGAGCAGTGGCTCACGAGCAACTCATTCCGGGAATCCCCTTCCCTTTTACTCCCAGTAAAGTGTTACTCCCAGTAAAGAGCTCAGAGTGGAGCTGGGTTTCAGAAAGGGACAATGAGGACTGAGAAAAATTCCCTGTTTTGTGGCCACCCCTAAATATTGAAGTGCTTAGCAATGAGCTTTAGGTGCTTGGTGTCTGATTTCCGTGCCAGCTCTGGTATGGGTTGTGCTGGGGCAAATTTCATGGTGGAGATGGCAGAAATTTTTCTTTACGTACCGGATTTGCCCACTTGAACACTGGATGCAAATTGAGTTTCTGACTTATTCCTCTTCATGCCTTCAGCTGTTGTTTTAATTTCTTTTTTTGGATGAGTTTCTGTCTCCTGTTCCAGACATGTGGGAAAAAAGTCTTTTGAAACCAAGGGCAGCGGATCTAAGGAACTCCTTTTTCTGTTTGTCAGTCTGTCCAGAGTGAAACCTGCTGCAAGAGCCTGTCTGGAGAAACAGAAACCCAGCTAAACCCTACTGCTTTTTGCTTATAGAGACTGTTTTACTTCTTCTGTTGAGTGCTTCTTAAATTAAAGAATTCTTTAGGAAGAAAACCACAGAAAATTTAACTTAGGCAAACTACATTGGTACACACAAAATAGAGTTAAAAGCATAAATGCCAAGTTTGTAAGGCTATGGGTCAAATGTTCCTTTCACCCACATCATTTCCTTTTTCCAGTAAGATCGGAATGAACCCAGATAGCTGCAGTGACCTCATGTTGCTCTGATTGCAACAGCTTTTTTGCATTTCTTGGATCACTGAGACATTTGTATCCTTGTTGCCGTGTGCATGTTGGACATTCCTGCACTTAAACATGCAAAGTTGGGAGTGGACACTTTTATTAATTGTGGTGGATTACCAGCAGGACATGCCACCCTTAGGCCCTCTCACCTTTCCTGCTCATCAGTGCCTTGATTCTGAGTTCCAAGTGTGGTTTAATGGGGGTAATTAATCTGATATAAATGACTGATGCCATCCTTCTGCCTCTCTTGTGGTGAGTTAATTTCTTTCAGAGCCAGTTTGCTTTTACACCTATGCTGTGCACCCTGGAGGGGGACGGATGCAGACAGGAGTCACAGCTGAGGGGTACAAACAGGTCATTGCCACAAGAGATGCAATCCTGCTCCTCTCTGGCTGTGTGATCCTCCTCTTCTTTGCACATGTCTGATCCCTGGATTATCTTCTTCACCTTGCAGCTTAGCAGAAAGTTTCCTTTTTTCTTTACTTTTTTTTTTTTTTTTTAAGAGTGGTATATTGAACCAGACTCTGGAGAGCCCTGCAAGGGGGAACATGTGGGATTGGAAGGGAAGGGGGAGCCAGATCCCCTCTGCTTGCACGGGGAAGGCATGAGATCATGATGAGTCTGTTGTCTGGCTGCATCCCAAGGTCATGCCAGGCTGGGGGAGAATTTCCATATTCAGAGAAATTCTCACATAATTATTATAGAGTTTGTGTTGGAAAGGATTTTAAAGCTTAATTTGTTTTAACCTCCCTGTCACGGACACTTCCACTAGACCAGGTGGCTCAGAGTCCTACCCAAAGTGGCCTCGAACACCTTCAGGGCTGGGGCATCCACAACTTCCTTGGGCAACCTGAGCAGCACCTCACCCCCCTCACAACAAATCCTTTCCTAATATCTGATCTAAACCTTCCCTCCTTCAGCTTGAGGCCATTCTCCCTTGTCCTATTGCTACATGTCCTTGTGAAAAGTCCCTCTCCAGCCTTCTTTAAGGCTCCTTTTAAGCACTGGAATGCTGCTCTGGTCTCCCTGGAACCTTCCCTTCTCCAGGCTGAAGGTTTCTCCTTCCTTTTAAGCATGTGTTTCCCAGTATAAATGCTGTGCACATGTGGATGTGGAGTCTTCCACAGGGTGGTAAGGTAAGTGTGCTGGATGCAGTGAAGACTGTTCACTTGGCAGAAGGAGGTCAGTTTTATTTTAAAATAGATTAACTTTATGTTAAATTGTAGCTGTTCTGTCCCCTTTGGAGGGCCATCACCATTGGGAGCCTCGGGAGTTCATTTGAGAATATGTAAATCTTTCCCAACTCGGAAATGCCACAGGCTTTGCTTCTGCTTTTTCACTGTTATGCTTTTAAAATATCATTGGCCCCAGGGGACTGCCTGACTGAAAAGAAAGTGCTGACTGATGGCTCATGGTGGCATTTCTACCTGCCCTGAGCTGAAAGGACATCCACCTTTTGGCGAGCTCCAGTTCCTCTCTGTCACATAAAGCTGTTAGAAAAGACAACTGAAGGAAATCTCTCTGCACACCGCTGCTCTCACCTTAGCAGGCACCCTCTGGTGTGGTTCTAAGTGCCCTGCAGACAGGGATTGGATCCCTGTGGAAGTGCTTCAGGGAGAGAAGAG